AGTGCTGCTCCCCCAGGACACTAAGAGAGTTTGTGGGAAGCCCTGGAGTCACCCCTGGCCCCCAACAGCACAGGGCTCCAATTGTTTAAATTCCAAGGATTTTTTGGCTGGACAGTTTGACCCTTGGGGAAAAAAAAGCTGCTTTGCTCCTGCTTGGGACAGTTCCCAAGTCCCTGCAGACAGCAGGAAACTCAGAGCAGAAAATTAAAAATAATTAAAAATAAAAATAAAAATAAAAATAAAAATAAAAATAAAAATTTAAAAAAATTAAAAATAAAAATAAATAAATGTATGTTTTTGCCTCAGATAAAACAGCAGAAAAAGGCCCCAAACTGCTGGAACTTCAGGGGACACACGATGGGAGGAGGAGCTGGATACTGCCAATCCCAGAAACAATGGGATGAGGAGCCAGCAGTCCCAGTGATCCCAGTGATGATGGGCAGGGACACCTCCCACTGTCCCAAGTGCTCCAGCCCCAGTGTCCAGCCTGGCCTTGGGCACTGCCAGGGGCCTGCCCACCCTCCCAGCCAGGAATTCCTTCCCAAGATCCCACCTGGAAGGATGTCCATCCCTGGCAGTGCCCAGGGCGGGGCTGGAGTCCCCATTCCTGCAGGGATTTCAAAGCCATGTGGATGTGGCACTTGGGGACATGGGCACTGGTGGCCTTGGCACCACTGACTGCACTCAGCGGGCTCAGAGGGATTTTCCAACCCAAATAAATCCACGATTCCATGAACCCCAGGGGGAATGGAGCAGTTCCAGAGGGCTCAGCCAGCGGGTCTGTCCCAGCCCACGCTTTTCATTGGGAATGGAGCTCCAGCTCCTCCCTCAAGAGTCCCTGGATCTCCAGGGCACAGGCAAGGACTGGGAAGAGCTCCCACTCCAGCTCAGCAAGGAGGGGAACAATCCCACCCTCCTGGATGAGCTGGAGCTGCTCTGGAGGATCCCCACAGCAGCACATCCCGGGAATGTCCCAGCTCTGAGCTGATCCCAAAGCACTCCTGAGAGCTGGTGACCGTGTCCAGAGGGCTGGGGACACCCAGACCCTGGGATCCAGCCTTGGGCAGGCCACCGGGAGCTGGGGGTGCTCAGCCTGGAGAAAAGGAGACTCAGGGCTGGCCCCATCGCTCCCACAGCTCCTGGAAGGTGCCTGTGCCCAGCTGGGCTGGGGCTCTGGCTCCAGGCAGCCCTGACACAACCAGAGCACACAGCCTCAAGCTGTGCCCAGGGAAATCCAGGTGGGAGAGCAGGAAAAAGCTTTTCCAGAAAGGTGATGAAGCTCTGGGATGGCTGCCCGGGGAGGTGGTGGAGTCACCAGGCCTGGATGTGTTTGAAAAGCCTGGATGTGACACTGGGTGCCAGGATCTCGATGCTCCTGGAGCTCTCTCCCAGCCCAGGCATTGTGTGATTGTGTGAATTCTGTGTGACCCTGTGTGACCTGTGAATTCTGTGTGATTGTGTGAGATCCTGTGAGGTCCTGTGTGATCCTGTGATTGTGTGTGATTCTGTAATTGTGTGAGACCCTGTGAGATTCTGTGATCCTGTGAGATCCTGTGATTCTGTGATCCTGTGATTCTGTGTGAGTCTGTGATTCTGTGATCCTGTGATTTTGTGATTCTGTGATCCTGTGTGAGTCTGTGATATCCTGTGTCATCCTGTGACTTTGTGAAAGGCCTGCCCATGCTCTGGGGGGCTGTGGACACTAAGGCTGCATCCATGGCTCCTCCAGGAGACATCCCAGCATCCCAGAAGAGGAGGGGTAGCAGGAGGCCAGGAGAGGAGCCAGCACTGGCTCCCAGAGTTTCTGAGAGCTCCACAGCTGGAGATGCACCCGGGACAGGTGGGAACTGCTCCCTCCCGGCGCCCCAGCCAGACCCCGTGTCACCCTGGTGTCACCCCAGTGTCACCCCGGTGTCACCCCGGTGTCACCCCGCCACTCACCAGCTCGATGCCCTGTGGGAAGGGGTTGTCCTCCCAGTCCTTCTCCGGGAAGCGCTGCAGGATCTGTCCCTGTCCATCCCCGCTCCCTGTGGAGACAAGGTGGGGTCAGAGGGCAGCAGGTACCCCCCACCCGCCGGGAATGCCCGGCTGGCACAGCCCCGGGCTGCTCCAGCTCTGCAGGGATGGGGCAGCACAGGAGGGACCCCGGCCCCTTCCAGGCCGAGCAGCACTGCCCACTCCAGCAGGGAACAGCAGGGACTCCAAGGAATCTGGAGCAAACAGCTCCCAGAGCCTTCTCTGGAGGTGGGAACGGTACAGGAGCAGCAGCTCTGGCCCCTCTCCAGCCAGAACTTCCTTCCCTGTGACCCCAACACGGACAGCACCCCCCACTCTGAGCTGCACTCCCTGCTCCTCACCTCCCCGCTGGCCTCTCCCCAAACAACCTGCCCAGGATTTGCTTTCGGGCTCCCGACAGCTCCTGCTTCCCCGGGGCATTCCAGAGCACTGGGAGCACCCCAAACCCTCACCTGCACCCCACCCACAGCCCTGCAGACCCCAAATCCTGCTGCTTCCCCTGGAGCTGGCCTGGACAGCCGGGAAAAGGCTCAGCAGGGCAGGCAGGCATGCCAGGCACCACTCTGGGACAGCCCGAGGTGACAGTGCCACCAAGTGCTGCTGTCACCGACCCTGCCAGGCTGGGCAGGGCTCCCACACTGCTCACATCTCCCAAAGACAGAGCTGCTCCTGGATCCAGCTGGGAATCACAAATCCCAAGGATTCTGGCCCAGCCACAAGGGCAGGCAGCCCCGTGATGGGGAGGGGGGATCCTCCCAGCCCCTTCCAGAGCTGCTGAGGGACAATCCATTCCCAGGGGTCGCCCGGGGCCTCTCCCATCCCAGGAGCCGGGTCCTGGCCATGGAATGGGGCTGGGAAAGCAGGAGGAGCACCAGGGAAGAGCTATTTTGGGAGCCCAGACGAGTCCCCAGAGTCCTGCTCACCGCCTGGCAGCCACAGCTGGATTTAGCAGCACCAGGGAAAGGGGCTATTCATAGCCCCGGGCCCAAAATGGAAAAGCTGCAGCCAAACTGGGCACCAAATATCCACAGGGATTGGGTCAACCAGATCCTGCCTGGCCACGTGCTCCCACACCACAGGCCTGCTCTGTCACCACGTCCCTGCTCCCACACCACGTCCCTCCTCTGTCACCACGTCCCTCCTCTGTCACCACGTCCCCCTGGAGGCAGCCCTGGCCCCGAGTGCTCCCAGCCCTGGCCAAAGGCTGCCCAGTCCCAGTGCCAAGGGCTCAGCTCAAGCTCCAGACAGGAAAATCCCTTGAGATCCACAGTCAGGATTACGGCTCCGACGGCTCCAAGCTGTGCCCTGCACATCCAGCCCTGCCACGGCTTCGCTGCAGTATCCTCAGTTAAAGGGGAATGGATACAAGACCACAAAATCCTGGAATGGTTTGGGTGGGAAGGGACCTCAGAGCCCCTCCAGGGCCACACTGCCACTGCAGGGACACCTCCCACTGCCCCAGGCTGCTCCAGCCCCAGTGTCCAGCCTGGCCTTGGGCACTGCCAGGGATCCAGGGGCAGCCCCAGCTGCTCTGGCAATCCCAGCCCAGCCAGGAATTCCTCATTCCCAATCTCCCATCCATGGCTGCCCTCTGGCAGTGGGAGCCATTCCCTGTGTCCTGTCCCTCCATCCTTGTCCCCAGTCCCTCTGCAGCTCTCCTGGAGCCCCTTCAGGCCCTGCCAGGGCTCTGAGCTCTCCCTGGATCCTTCTCCTGTCCAGGTGAGCCCCCCCAGCTCTCCCAGCCTGGATCCCTGGGATCTGAGGGGCTCCAGCCCTGCAGCAGCTCCGGGGCCTCCTCGGGGCTCTCCAGCAGCTCCAGGTGCTGCTGCTGTGTGCCAGGGCTGGGGCAGCTCTGCGGGGCTCTCACCTGGGCACGGGGGCAGGATCCCCCTCCCCTGCTGCCCACTGGGCTCAGCCCAGGGCTGGGGGATCTCAGGCTCATCATCCTCACCACAAACAGAAATCATTCCAAGTGCTGTTTTGAGAACAATGGGGATCTGGACTCACGGGGTTTTCCCAGAGGCAGGAGCTGCCACTCTCCAGCCAGCTGCAGGCAGGTACATCCTGATTTTAGGGACGGCCACCAGCAGCCTGACTCAGGAATCCAGCACTTCCCTCAGCTGCTCCTCGGGCAGCCCGATCCCATTTCCCACCATCCAGCTCCGTAGCGGCTGCGGGACCGGTGCGTCCCTTCCTGCCCGGGAGAGCTGGACCTGCCCCATCCATTCTCCTGCCATCCCAGCCGAGAGCCCCGGGAAAGCTGGAGATTCCTGGGAAAGCAGGCACGTGTGCCCGTGAACCTCGGCCTGCAGGCAGCTGCTGCTGCGTCCTTCCTGCGGCTCCCGCAGGCCGGGGGGACACCTGGGGGAGCCCGGGCACTCCGGCCGCGCTGGAAGGTCACAGGATGTTGTTGTGATCCAGGAAATCCCAAATAAGCCCGGAGGTAAACACGGGGCTGGGTCACGGCACAGGATGACCCCGCTGGGAGCGCTGGCACGCCGGGAGGCTGCCGGGAACGGCGCGGCTCCGGACACGGACACGGGACACGGACACGGGTCACGGACACGCCAGCGCCGCGCCTCGCTCCCGTGTCCCCTAAAGGATGGGACAAAGGAGCTGCGCCCCAGCCCTGCACACACACCGGCCAGGCCTCGGACTGCTGGCTCCGGAGTGCTCCCAGAGCCTGCAGGAGGTGCCCACCTTCCCTGGAAAATCCCGGGGGGATTTACAGGTGGAGCACGGCAGCCCCAGCCCACCCCAGCCCCACAGGCAGGTCCTGCTCTGGAGCAGCCACGGGGACTGGGCAGGGAACCCTGCAGCAGCTCCTGCAGCCCTTTCACAGAACCACACAATTCACAGAATTCACAGAATCACAGAATTCACACAATTCACACAATTGCAGAAATTATAGAATCACAGAATCACAGAATTCCCACAATCCCTGGGTTGGGAGAAAGCTCCAGGAGCACCGAGCCCAGCCAGCCCCTGGCACCCAGTGCCACATCCAGGCTTTTCAAACACATCCAGGCCTGGTGACTCCACCACCTCCCCGGGCAGCCATCCCAGAGCTTCATCACCTTTCTGGAAAAGCTTTTCCTGCTCTCCCACCTGGATTTCCCTGGGCACAGCTTGAGGCTGTGTGCTCTGGTTGTGTCAGGGCTGCCTGGAGCCAGAGCCCCAGCCCAGCTGGGCACAGGCACCTTCCAGGAGCTGTGGGAGCGATGGGGCCAGCCCTGAGTCTCCTTTTCCTGAGGAGCTGGATGTGACAGAGCGAGAGGAGAAGGGAATTTTCACAGGGATGTCCCACCCCTCACACCTGACACCCTCCACTCCCAGGTGACTGGAGGTGTTTCACCACCAGGACAGGACCACTGGTCCGGCCAGTCCCCAGGAACAGCTCCTCTGCAGGCTGGGACACGATTCTCACACCCCTGAACCTCAGAAATTTGGGATGAAATCATCCAGGGGATGTCAAAGTTCAGACAACACAGCTCAGCGTTGGAGCTGGCACAGCTGCCCAGAGCAGCTGTGGCTGTACTGGCTCCCTGGCAGTGCCCAAGGCCAGGCTGGACACTGGGGCTGGAGCAGCCTGGGGCAGTGGGAGGTGTCCCTGCCATGGCAGGGTGGCACTGGAGGGGCTCTGGGGTCCCTCCCCGCCTGACCAACTCTGGGACTCCCTGATCCTGCAGTCAGCTCTGTCCTGCCTGGAGGCTCCTGCCAGGGCACGGCATACAGCCAGGGCAGGGAGGGCACTGAAGGGCTGGAACGTGAGCCCAGGGGGGCAGGAGGCCGATGGCCCTGGGCTGGGGCAGCCCCAGGGTGGGCACAGCCCAGGGCAGGGACTGTCCCCTGTGCTGGCCCTGCTGAGGGACCCCCTGGAATCCTGGGGGCAGCTCCGGGCCCCTCCTGCCAGGAGAGCCCTGGAGGGGCTGGAGTGTCCAGGGAA